TCGTATCCGAAAACCTCTGTCGGCGGCGAAAAACGCCGACGTTTTTCTCCTTGAAAAGCTTCGCCTGATTATCCATAAAAAATTTAACTGCATCTTTCGCGGAGAACAGTGGACGGCCGACACCATCGTCGGCGACGATCATAGCAGCGAGAAAACCGCCGATACCCGTGCCGGCGATAATATCGAAGAAATCCACAATGCGTGCGTGAGAATCACCTGTCATCGCTTGGATCTGAGACTCAAGGTGAACCAACGCGGCACCGGCAGCAAGGCAAGTAGTTCCTCCGCCGTCAATGCTTAAAAGACGCGTCTTCTTCCCATCATAGTGGCACAACCACTTCTGCTCCAACTTGGAAAAAATCTCCAACGTCAAATTATCCAGGTTCATCACTCTAACAACTTTCTCTCACTATAACACCACCACTTTAAGTAAATCAAAGCAAAAAAAAAAAAAGCCAGCAATTTTGCAAGCTAGCAAGTAAAGCGGCTAGATAAATAGCTATGAAGGAAAATCCGTGAAAAAAGTGATAGCCACGAATTAATACTGAGAAGCATTGGTGGCAATGAAATGCAGATGAACACCTTTCACTGTGTGTAACTGCGCATTTTCTTGCAAGGAAATGTGGGAGACTGAGAGAAGGAAGAGTGGGGGAGAGGAGGTTACGTGTGGTATATTATATACGCGGATGCTTCTCATTTGTTTTTTATTTTTATTTTTTTAATATGTACGCCTGTTTCGGCCTTTTGTGTTTAGTTTTTTTTTTAATACACGTATAACACCACCACTTTAAGTAAATATTAAATTCCAACTAATTAATAACTCCAACTTGACCTGAAAATTAATTACACTCGTTCTTACTGATTTACCATCTATACGCACGCACGTGCGTAGGAGGATGCGTTTCATTGGATTCTGTAATGGCTGATTTTGAGATGGGCTACATGATGTTGGGCCGTTTGAGAGCCCATTAAGTTGTTAGGAGGTTCAACTGGGTTCCCTTTGGGGGAAGATTACATAAATCATGCT